CGCAATGGACAATGTTGAGGGTGAGGATGCGGGCAAGCATCATACGGGCAAGTGTCTTGCGGGGATCTGTCCGGCGAGCATATGTTCTGCGGGCAAGTGTCCTAGATTCGTCATATTGTCACGAGTCATATGTCCTAAAAGTTTATGCAAAAACTATTGAGTAAAAATCACTTCAATATATGCTATAACAATTTTGATAGTAAAGTTAATCTTTTTTTTTTTTTTCGTAAACAACGAAATTGTTGAATACATAAACAAACGTTTAGAATACACGGAATATTAGTGAATAAAAGAAAAGAAATGAATCTCCAAGAGAGAGGGAAGATATTAGAAGTCATGTGGATTATGTAAGGTATCTCGAACTTGTTGACACTGTTAGTAAATGATATCGCATTTTTCGCTAGTACTGAGCACGAAGCGGAAAGCAAAAACTTTTCTGATTGGGACAAACAAAAAAAAACAATGGATCTCGCTCATCATTACTTGTGAATTCAGTTGAGAAAATTGAGAATCTATTTCTTTGCTTTAATGATTAAAATTTCAATACAGACAAAATAACAATAAGAAAGATTTGATTGATATGGAGAAAATTTTAATCTCTGTTTTTAGATGTGATCAAACTTATTTTTGGTGAAACTAATATACAGAATGGTTTACAAATTCTTTTAGAACATTTCCAAGATCCATTATTGAACAAACAAGTATGTAGATTTATATATTTAATAAACTCTACTTACATAATATATCTATTAGTTATTTTATATGATTCTCGATGAAATAATTTTTCAACTTTTTCCTGAATTACAATCAAATTCCGAAATGTCAAGAGCTAATACAATAACAACAACAGAATGATTTTTTCTTTAAACAGATATTTATTGAGAATAAACAAACATTTTTGTTTCATTTTTATTTTATCCCTTGCACTTCTTCTTTGCTTTTGTGACAAATAATTACCGGTTATTTTCTTTTATTTTAATGTGTATAATCATTTCAATAATCTCACTAATGTTTGTCGTTGTTTTGTTTTTCTCGACTTTTCTTTTTTTTTATAAAATATTTCCAAGGAAAAACAAATTTCAACTGTCATTCTAGATAAGTGTTGTATTTAATTGAATGGCACACTTATCATTTTTGATAAGTAATTGTAGTGTTGTATTTTATCACTTATATATAAAAATACACCAATGTGATCAAAGTTCGAATGATTGTTATTCAGACGATAGTCGAAGAATAGATAAATGTGAGATACAAAAATTGTTGTCTGTGATGATTACCTATTTAACAATTCAATATCACTGGTTTTTCGTAATGTGAATATTTCATATTGTTATTATTCCATCAGATTTTTCAATCTATTAAATAACAGATTTTGATGAACGAATTCAAAGTTTTAAATCACAAACAACATATATACTACATGATATTCTTGATTTAACAGTTGATCTTATCTATGAAACTGAATAATGATTTCATGTTTGAATCTATGGTTCAGTTTATATATGATATATAGTCTCACTTCAAATACATGCAATGGAAAAGAAAACTAATATGATTGATTATGAGATTGTGGTGACATCAAAACCATTTACAATACTTGTCACTCGAATATCAACAGATATCACATAGTGAGTTCGAATAAAAAATATTATTAGAAGCAAATCTATACGAACACTATTTATGTAATAAAATGTAGTCTTTAATTGATCAATGAAAATCTGTTACACAAATATTGTAATTCGTTTTTGAATGTGTGAGTTTAAAAAATTTAATCTAACTAAATAATACTAGAAGATGTAAATGAAAAAAACAATGTTCATTTCTCGTTCAATAATGTATAAAAGTCGTCATGACTGAATAGCTACATTATTCATTACGTATCCACAAAGTACTGTGTGCAAGTGTTAGTAGCATCAGCCATGGAATAACCCTGGAAAAGTTATTAACGACTACTTGTCTCGGATCATCTGTCCGATAGCATATTAACTACCTTGTGACATACACCTATTGTTCTGTTTTGTTAGTATGTATGAGAAGCTTAAGCAAAGGAGCGCAATAATTCTGCGTCAGGCTCGTCTTCTTCTGTCCAGAACAACAGCTAGTATTAACTGTACGGAAGATATTGAGCTACTGAATATACCGCAAGGTAACTGAAAAGTAGGGGTATTCTTCTTTCTAATAATGTATAAAAAAGTTACTGCGACTCAATAGGCTAATAGTATTGATTTCATTTTTGTTAAGTTTTCATTTACGAATATATAGAAAAGTTCTTTTGTAGAAATTAATATATATAATATTTTGCAAGGTTACTATCATCTCAATCTATATATTACAAATTATGACGATTATATCTTCATTGGAATTAAAGCGGATATTGAATTGTTTGCTGTTTGTCATCTGATTATGATAGATACAGTACTAAATCAGTGAGTTTTACTGATTCAAATAAGTCATATTTGAATTTAAGTGAAATTGAGTATCCCTATTTCATGAATAACAATCGGCGCTAACAGTGAACATTTAAAATACAATGAATCGATCGTACTATTTTTGTTATTATCAAGGAGAAGGTAATGTAACTTTTAATCTATCGAATGGAACACATGATTGTGTGCAGAATTGAGTGTTTTCAGCACTGAAATATTGTTTTGTTTGAATATAATTATTGAATTATTTCGAAAACTGAATTGATTTGATAATAAGATTATTTTAAAATACAATTAGCACTTGTATTACACAAATAAAAGCAAAAAAATTAATTGTATAAAATTCGAAGCATTCAACGATCGACTCTTTTATGTAGAATGCACTCTATACGTTCTATCTTCAGATGATTTTCTTTGATTCTATCTTTCAACTATGTTTGTTAGATCATTAGTTTCGAAGAAATTTTTTTATCGTCATTATTTTTTTTTTCAAATTTTTTAGAAGGTTGAAACAATTCTATTGTACGGAGCATAATTTTGTATGACGAAATTTCATTTTTTTTTCTTTCATTTAGATTCAATTCAAATGTATCATCAACTATCTTTGTTGATCAATTTGACTATCCAGTTGATTGTTGTATGATCTTAGTGAATATGAACAATCGTTTTTAAGCTATGTTACCAACACATGGAACAAATTCACGTTTTGAACGTATGATATTCGTCCAACACCAAATCCCAATTTTTATATATTAAAGACTTATTTTGAGTGTTTATCTATTTTACATCAATCTTGAACGAGTACCAAACAACAAAACAGATGTTCATGGATAATTTTATCTTAATTCAAATGCAATGAATACTGATCTTCAACTATACTTCCTCCAACGTATACAACCATTAAGAACATTATTGATTTATATATATATATATATTTTTTTTTAGAGGGTCCACTGTACAAAATGTTATTGAACAATATTGAGATGTTATTATTGTAAGACGATAAGAAATTATATTTATTTCATTGCTTTATAAACCTATGATGCCACAATATTGCAATCACTTTAATTTCATCTTAGTCGTTATGTATGGAATAGTATCGCGAATTCATTAGTACCTATTCAAGAAAAATTTCTTGAATGACTAAACAAAATAAAAGATTTTCTATATGATGTTTAAAATACAGATATTAATACAATGTCATCTCATCTTGATTTTACATATGATAATAAAAACTTTCATGACTTACTTAAACTTATCAAAGAGTTACAATCTAATGGAAAAACATTATGTGAATATTATTGATTCAAGTATTTATTTAACTCAAACACGAGATACCTATTGTCCATATAATATTCAATATGGAACATAGTATGATCATCAATAATCGCTCTAATCTAAGAGTTACATTTATCGATAACATTATGAACTTAATTTCGAATAAGTTGGATAAAAATATTAGCGCAAAATAAAAGATGTTATTGATAACAATGAACACATATTTGAATTCTTGTTTTTATTTCATTAGAAAATTTATGAATTAAGAAGAGATAAATATCGAAGATGCTTTTTTAACTTGTGATGGACACACTTATTCTAGATCAGGTTTGATCACATTATGCATAATATTCTTATTCTAAGCATGTTTATTGTGAAAATTCGATAAATACGCAATACAAGTATGAAGTTTAACTTTGACAACTATGAGAACCATGAGGGAGGCGACAATATTCTAAGATAGATATAACGACATCATTCTGTCCTAAGAATAATAAAAACTAGAAATTTTATCAGTTCGTTGATACGGCATGCCTATTTCTCAAGTGCTCTATTTGACAAATAATGAAAGTACACGATAGACATGTTTATTAAACAGAAGAAAAAACCAAGACTTTATTTTGATATTCCGAGTACTATAGCTAAATTTAGCTGATGAGAGAACGTTTTTAACGGGATTTTCGAAATCAATATGGTCAATAACTTGCAATCCGCTAACTTCGGATTAGAAAACGACTGATCTGTTGAACACATTTCCTCACAAAATATTCTTGGTGAAACTCTGGAATTTTACACTTCAATTTTTACATATGATCGAACTTGTTGTATGAAGAATAACGTCGATAGATTGGTTTTTGAAATGGCTTTATAATATTTTCACGACCCATCGCTACATGAAGAAGTTAATGAATGCATAATGTATACAATTGCAATAAGGAGAAAAGATGTTTAGAAAATTATGTTTGATTTTTCTTTCATATATTATCACTTGAATAAATGCGTTCATATTTCTTCATGACGAATAGTTTTTAAAAAAACAAATAATTTTTTTGTAGATATCTAATAGGTTCAATCGAATGGAATGTTTACTATTTGTGACAAGTATTACAATATTATTTTTTCTATCTTATACATACGCACAACAATGTGAACAACCATTAAATGTAGCTCGATTTAATTGTTATCCAGAAACAGATCCAACAATGGATAAATGTCTTGAACGAAAATGTTGTTGGCGATTACCTATTCAACAATCAAATTCGACTAGTTTACGTGATTTAGATGTTCCATTTTGTTATTATCCATCAGATTTTCCAACCTATGAAGTAACATCAACTAGCACAACAGATTTTGGTCAACGAATTCGTATTCTTAAAACACAAACAACATATATGCCACATGATATATTGGACTTAACAGTTGATCTTATCTATGAAACTGAACAACGTTTTCGTATTCGAATATATGATACAATTTATGTACGATATGAAGTTCCACTAAAAGTACCTCTAGTACAAAAGAAAGCTAATACGACTGATTATGAAGTTGTAGTGAAACCAAAACCATTTTCAATACTTGTTACACGTAAATCAAGTGGTGCGATATTGTAAGTTATAAGAATTTTGCTGTCGAAAACTCAGTACTGTTGCATTTCTATAATCATATAAGAGCATATGTATTCATATAAAAAATAGTCTTGTAGACAATTTTATTGAAGTATGACACAATTCATTAAACTGAGAAAACATCTAACAAATTTTTATTTTTTTGTTTAATCGTTTTTCAATAAAACAAAGTTTATCACAACAATAGTCTATGTTATAGAATATTGTTCGTTTAGATTTGATTCAAGTGTATCACCACTTATTTTTGCTGATCAATTCATGAAAATTTCTACTCGCCTATCAAGTCCATTTGTGTATGGTCTTGGTGAACATCGACAATCATTATTAATCAACGTAACAGATAGTTGGCAAAGATTAGCATTCTATACTCGTGATTTTCCACCAATCGAAAACATCAATCTGTATGGTAAAAATTGCTCTTGTCTAAATCGATATCTTGAAATAAAAATAAAACATACATAATTCATAGGTGTTCATCCATTTCATATCAATCTTGAACGAACACCAGATAATCAAACAAATGTTCATGGACAATTTTTTCTTAATTCAAATGCAATGGATATTGATCTTCAACCATTACCAGCTTTAACTTATACAACTATTGGTGGTAT